AATTTATATAAACAATAAATGAATTAAAACACGAAAGGAAGCTAACTTCGGCACGCCGAAGTTTATATACCCTTGCAGATAGAACTTCTATGACTAGGAATCCATACAATATAAATTATATATATTTGTGTTAAAAAACAATGAAGTAATACCTGCTTTCATACATATTACATTTTCAGTTTTACATTCACAGGTTTCCATTTTTGCTCCACATCTAATGATCGTTTGTATGGCACCTATATGATATAGCAGTTCGGCTTTACACAAAATTGTAGAATACTATTAAATGACTGTCTCAAATTTGATGAAAATCTGTTGAAAACAGAAAAAGTTATAATTTTTAATCGTATTAATTTCTCGATCTTTCCAATGGGAGCTATACGATATATTAGTCCGATTTTCATAAAATTTTACACAAAATTGTAGAAAATATTAAATGGCTATATCTCAAATTGATTAGATTCTGTTGAAAACTGAAAATGTTATGGCCACGGCGATTGCAGTCTTCCTACAACAGCCACTGCCATTCTTATTCCTCTCAAATTTCTCGATCTTTCCTATGGGAGCTATACGATATATTAGTCCGATTTTCATAATATTTTACACAACATTGTAGAAAAATATAAAATGACTATATCTCAAATTTGATTAGATTCTGTTGAAAACTGAAAATGTTATGGCCACGGCGATTGCAGTCTTCCTACAACAGCCACTGCCATTCTTATTCCTCTCAAATTTCTCGATCTTTCCTATGGGAGCTATACGAAATATTACTCCGATTTTAATAAAATTTTACACAAAATTGTAGAAAAATATTAAATGGCTATATCTCAAATTTGATTTCATTCTGTTGAAAACTGAAAATGTTATGGCCACGGCGATTGCAGTCTTCCTACAACAGCCACTGCCATTCTTATTCCTCTCAAATTTCTCGATCTTTCCTATGGGAGCTATACGATATATTAGTCCGATTTTCATAAAATTTTACACAAAATTGTAGAAAAATATTAAATGGCTATATCTCAAATTTGATTAGATTCTGTTGAAAACTGAAAATGTTATGGCCACGGCGATTGCAGTCTTCCTACAACAGCCACTGCCATTCTTATTCCTCTCAAATTTCTCGATCTTTCCTATGGGAGCTATACGATATATTAGTCCGATTTTCATAAAATTTTACACAAAATTGTAGAAAAATATAAAATGACTATATCTCAAATTTGATTAGATTCTGTTGAAAACTGAAAATGTTATGGCCACGGCGATTGCAGTCTTCCTACAACAGCCACTGCCATTCTTATTCCTCTCAAATTTCTCGATCTTTCCTATGGCAGCTATACGATATATTAGTCAGGATTTCATAAAATTTTACACAAAATTGTAGAAAAATATTAAATGGCTATATCTCAAATTTGATTAGATTCTGTTGAAAACTGAAAATGTTATGGCCACGGCGATTGCAGTCTTCCTACAACAGCCACTGCCATTCTTATTCCTCTCAAATTTCTCGATCTTTCCTATGGGAGCTATACGATATATTAGTCCGATTTTCATAAAATTTTACACAAAATTGTAGAAAAATATAAAATGACTATATCTCAAATTTGATTAGATTCTGTTGAAAACTGAAAATGTTATGGCCACGGCGATTGCAGTCTTCCTACAACAGCCACTGCCATTCTTATTCCTCTCAAATTTCTCGATCTTTCCTATGGCAGCTATACGATATATTAGTCAGAATTTCATAAAATTTTACACAAAATTGTAGAAAAATATTAAATGGCTATATCTCAAATTTGATTAGATTCTGTTGAAAACTGAAAATGTTATGGCCACGGCGATTGCAGTCTTCCTACAACAGCCACTGCCATTCTTATTCCTCTCAAATTTCTCGATCTTTCCTATGGGAGCTATACGATATATTAGTCCGATTTTCATAAAATTTTACACAAAATTGTAGAAAAATATAAAATGACTATATCTCAAATTTGATTAGATTCTGTTGAAAACTGAAAATTTTATAATTTTTTTGGTAAAAATTTTCGATCATTCCTATGGCAGCTATATGATATAGTGGTCCGATCCGGCCCCTTCCGACATATATACGAGTAAGAGTATATAGAAGACTAACTGCAAAGTTTCATTCAGATAGCTTCAAAACTGAGAGACTAGTTTGCGTAGAAACGGACAGACGGACAGACGGACAGACGGACATGGCTAGATCGACTCGGCTGTTGATCCTGATCAAGAATATATATACTTTATATAGTCGGAGGTGCCTCCTTCACTGCGTTGCAAACTTCTGACTGAAATTATAAGACCCTGCAAGGGTATAAAAAAGCAACGTCTCAACAATTAATTAATGAAGAAATCAAGAGGAAACAAAATTATCGTATTATTTTTATTTATTCAAAAAATTAAAAAAACAAAATTGTAACTCAATGATTTAATAAAGTCTCCCTTTACCTGGATTTGGAACCAACGTCTCAATAATTAACTAATAAGGAAAGCAAGATTAAACAAAACAATAATTGAATTATTATTTATTCAAAAAATTAAAAAAAGAAAATAGCAACTCAATGATTTAATAAGGTCTCCCTTTACCTGGATTTGGAACCAACGTCTCAATAATTAACTTATAAGGAAAGCAAGATTAAACAAAACAATTATCGATTTATTAAAAAAAAATAGCAACTGAATGATTTAATAAGGTCTCACTTTACCTGGATTTGGAACTAACGTCTCAATAATCATTAATAAGGAGGCCTTTACTAGACTTGGACTCTGGTGTGCTGCTTCAAATTTCAAATTAAATAATCAATTAAGAAAGCAAAAAACAAAATAAAACGTGTCAATCAAATTCTTTAAAATAATTATATAATTCATAAGGAAAGCAAGACGAATATATCAATTCAAAAGTCCAAACCTACAGGTCAAAAGTTTCGAGTAAAATAAAGAAATAAATAAAAACAATTATTTAAAAAATAAAGAAAGGAGAGTTCTTTGTAGTAGCTCCACGAACAGAGAACTGAATGAATTTCGTACGAGATCCGAGTTTATATACTTTTTGGATGGACAGAAAAGTCATGGCTTTCCCGATTTCAATTTGATTTTCTAGTTTCAGATATCGAAACTTGGTAAAACGTTATAAATTTGAAAATCTCTTAAATTGCAAAATTCAAATTACTCAACAAGAAAGGAACCTGAAGTTTGTTAATCATTTTGAATCGATCCACTTCTTTTTTAAAAATATTAATACCCTGCAAGGGTTTAAAAATAGAAGCAGTAAATGCATTGACACTTTACTCATTAACTTCACCAAAACAAATACAGTGCGTTCAAGAACGATATATATATAATATTCCCACTTAAAAAAAATTCCGTTGAGGAAAATGGGTTTCCCAAAGGGCAACCAACCACTGGCAATGCCATCAAGGAACTGAGCTCGAACAAGAAGTCAACCCGAAAAAAGGACTCGACCAGGAATCGAAGGAGCAGAGCAGCCAGATATAAACTGCAACATAAACTGGGACCAAATGTGTAAACAGTGACATTATTAAGTTAACCTATGACCGGCTATTGTGTGGGCGTAGATTTTTACCTACACGCACAGTGGGTTCCAAGGATATGTGTACAGGCAGTTCAAGAAATGTATATAGCCAGGACTTATAGTTAAAAAACTTACGTACTCCCAGCTAAGGGTTATCATAAGAAATCTATATATTATAGGCTAATTTCGTTATGCAAATCAATATTTTTATGGATATTTATTTTATTGTTTTGGTGATAATTATATTATTTTTAAACTATTCCAAAGTATTATAATTTTACTCAGAAGCTTAAAACTTAGTGAAGATGTCATTTCCAATACTATAAATCATATATATTCATGATCAGCATCAACAGCTGAACCAATCTAGACATCTCAGACCAAAAAAAATTTTTAATTTTTTCCAAAAAATATAAGGGGTTACTTCGCTAAAATTTTAAAAACGAAAGAAATAAATTAATTTTTGTACATATTAAATTTAATCTGCAGATTTATTAAGCTTAAAAAAAACTAGCAAAGGAACACTTTCCAAATTAAAAGTAATGCTTTTTAACTTAATTATGAGTTTTTAAAACTTGATTTATCGAAAACATCATATAAAAATATCATTAAATATTGATTAAATATAATATTTTGTTCAGTTATTTTTCGAGATTTTAAAATGCTAAAAAATTAAGTGTACAAATAATAGTAGTTATATTATAAGTGCCATGTTTTTGTCGATATATGTATATCTCCTAACATTAAAGGTTTTAAATGTATTTTAATGTTTCCTTATTCTTATCTTTTTATTTTACACAAAATAATTAAAATGAATGAGTTTGCTCTTGACAAAAAAAAACTAATTTCAAACAAGATATTCTATATATTATATTCTAAATTTCCAACCACAGTATATGGAGCGTGGGTAGTATTGAAATTCAAGCAAATATTGGAAAATTTATGCTTACTTTCGATATAAAATCAAGTGTTGAGCGTGAGGGCGTTTTTGCTATCTTTTTACGAGGCAAACAAAGGGGAGAGAAAACCAGCCGGCGAACCATAACATGTTGGATTTTATGATGTTTTGTTAGCCAGCAGCAGAAACAACCTGTTGTTTCGCTTGGAGGATGTTGCCAGAGGCTCAGGTAACCCAGGTCTTCGACCAATTTGTGGTCCCAGATAAATAAGACAATAAGCGACACGGGCCGCAGAACACGCACACGCAAACGCAAACGCATACGCAATTCACAATTGCTGCCGTTGCTCTTCATTAGGATTGGAGATTGGCCGAGGACGTACATACTGGATGGTCCTGGACCGGCCTCATTACTTCAAATAGAGCAACAGTGACCGCCACCCCGATTTAATTATGCCGACGCCCGACAGTGGGCCGCCAGTGGCCATCCCTATCCGCAGGCCGGCTCCGGATATATTTCAAAACCAGGGTAACGCAGCGCTCAGTCGGCCCGCGTCCGCCGTGTTAGCCACAACAGAGAATATACAAAGGATCTTCCAGAGATCAGGACGCACCATCATGGCCCGTATGTTAGTGCCACCATCGGTGGGCATCGGTGCCCGTAGCTGGACCTTGTGCGGAGCAGTCCTTTTGTTCGTCCTGCCGCTGATACCCACGCCGGAGGCACTGCAGCACACAGAGGAGGGCCTGGAGATGCTCTTCCGTGAGCGGTGAGCTTTGAATTTGTTCTGAAAATATGGATTAGGTTTAATGGGGAAATCATTTTTCGAGAAATATTTAATTACTTGCTTTTTCTTGTAGCTCCCAATCGGACTGGGAGAATGTGTGGCACCAGGAGGCACACTCTCGCTGCCGAGACAAGCTCGTCCGTCAGCTATATTGGGCCTGCGAAAAGGATATTTACCGGCTGACACGACGCAACAAGAAAAGGACAGGGAACGATGAGTCCTGGCTCAAAAAGAGCCCCACGGATCGTGAGTTATTTCTAATAATATATATTATTTTTAGTATTATTTATTACACTCCCTAATTTTAAAGCAAACTAGTTCAAACTAGTTTAAGTTTTGTTGTTGAAGTGTTGTTATTGGAGGGTTGTTGTTGAAGTGTTGTTGGAAGATCCGCTCCACTGTAACGTCCTTACTTGCTTTAATTTTGATCCTCGATCCTTGCTCCTTAATTTGCAGCAAATGGCTCCACCTGGCTGCATGTGAACTATGCAAACATGTTCCTCAGAAGTCGTCGGTCGGATGCTCCGTCCATTACAAATGAATGTTGCACCAAGACGGGTTGTACCTGGGAAGAGTACGCCGAGTATTGTCCATCCAATAAGCGACGCAATCACTACTGAATTACCAAAATTTCCATAGTAATATTTATACATATATATATATATAATATATAAATATTCGCTTTTTTCCCGTGGTTGTTGTTGTTGATGATGTTCTTGCTGTGTTAAATAAAATTGTATGTCACAACTGTTGGGCTGGCATTAAAAAGAAAAGAAAAGAAAGTAAATTTAATGTGTTTCCATCAATAATAATTTAAAATTAAGGCAATGATAAATATAAACATAACATATACTATTTTTATTTCCAAAAAAAACATACATAATATAACCAAGTGAGAGGGTGTAAGCATTATAACCCACAGTTCTATATTTTATATTTTTTTTTATATTTGTATATTATATATTTATAATCGTACAAGATAACGTTCTTTGAAAGATTTCCACACACTTTCGCTTAAAATATTCAACTATAAAAGGTTCTATTAACACTTGAACAGTTTTGTAATTAATTAAATCCAATATATGTACATTTAAAATATATTTCCAATATATTAGATTGTTATATTCAAGGTAATTAACGCAATTCAAATTTTGAATTAAATATTTAAAATACAGAGTATTAATATTTCTACAATATATGTGCCACGCCAACCAACCGCTCTCTTAAAGAATTTAATTTCATTTAAGTCCCTAACATCAATATAATAAATATTAAAAAAAAAACTAATAATAATACTTAGAAAATAATATATTTTTGTTTTTGAACACAATTATTAAATTGTATTATATTATATACAGGGGTTACATACCGCAGATTTTCTTGATTTAGAAGCCTGAAAATATTTAAAATAATCAGAATAAAAATGTTTTAAGTTCTAGTTGAAATTGGTTTACATAACCAATTATTAAAACTTTAACTTTACTAACTTTTATAGACAACTTTTCAAAACAATCATATATGCTAAATAACCAATGACAATATAATCTATAAGATGTACACACATACAATAATTCTTATATGGTCTTTGGTATAACTGAATGCAACCCCTTAACAAAGTTTAATATTTTCAAAGCAAGTACTTTGACTTCTTTAACTATAAGATATCAGATTCATCTCTGCTTACTATGTAAGATTTCTTAATTAACAAAAAAAATATTGATATATATATATATATATGTAAATGTATACATTGAAGGTGCCACAGAATACAATAGAAACCAAAAGCAAGTTATACAGAAAAGGTTAAAATTTTGTATGACAAAAGTTCGGAACTCTTCTCTTTCATATCCGAAGTGGCTTCTGTGGCACCCTGCTTGCATATATTTTTCTAAAAACAATAGAGAGGCTATCGTCCACTCTCAACAGTAGCTTTGGAAATCAAATACTTTACACTAATATCACTTAGTTAATAGATATATAAGGGTTTAAATAAACCCTTTTTTTTATTTGCCGCTTGCATCCAACACATTCTCATCGTTCTCCTTGCGACTTTTGCTGGCCGAGCTGGAGGGCGTCGATCGTGGCCTCTTGGTGGCCTGTCCCTGTTCGTAATGTGTGTCTAACATTTCCAGCAATGTCATTTGTCGTCCTCCACCGGGCTTGGAGCTGCTACTGGTGCTACTCTTGGTTGCATTGTTGCTTGTGCTGTTCTGGTTGCTGGCGGTATCTCCGGTTTCGGTTTTCGCCTCTAAGCTGGCTGCCATCATCATGGCATTGGCCTCCTCATCGTCGGAAAGGAGGAGAGCAACTGATGGATCTGGTGATGAGTTGGAATTGTCTAGGGAAGATTGCGTGGCAAATAGATCAGGGGAATTTTGTTGTAGTTTCTTTTTAATGGGTTCAGGTGGTGTTTTTAATCCTTCTGCTTCAGATGGCTTTTTTATACCCGAAGAAACGCCTGCCTCTGGTGCTTCCTGGGCTCCTGCTTCTCCTGATTTGGGCACTACTTCCGCATTTCCTTCGGAATCTCCAGATGGAGATCCTGTTCCATCATCGCCAGTTCCCAATTGCTCTCTTATATATTGATATAACTTCTTTTTCGTTGACTTACTCTTGCCCTGGCTTTGGCTCTTTCCCTTCATCCGCTCGCTGTAGCTCTTGAGTATCCTCCACAGCTGCTGCACTGTTGTGCCCTCCGTCTGGAAGAGTGTCCACATTTCATAGATATCATCACGCAATTTAATATTACCAAATGTGTAATAGGCCAAGGGTCTGCCCAATTGGGCACAAACCATTAATTGTAGCAGAGATTTTAAATAGGGATCACCACCAAAGGCGCCGCATCCCCAATTGCCAGTTGCCACACCGGGTGGGGGCGTGGCCATCCAATGGACAAATCCGATGTGTGCCTTGTTCAATTCCCTCTCCATCAGATCGACACGATATTGATGCGTGGCCTGAGCAAAATGTAGAGCATCGATGGCTACAATTGCTGTTTGACGCCGTCTCGATGAGTCTCTGGGCGTGCGATCCTCATGATTGCCCGACCATTCAAAGCTGCCAGCATATCCTGTATAGTTGCTATATCTTTCCGCTCCCAACATGACCAGAGCTTCATAGGGTCGCAGACATTCCGTGAATAGCTTGCCCACCAACAGTTCCGGACAGATCACAAAGCGTATCTCCTCCTGGACGCATCCATGACCGAGTACACCGCCGCCTAAATACTTGTTGGCAAAATCAACCTGTAGCAGGCCGACGCCTTCATCCTCGATCGTCCCGATTGCATCCAAATGTAAGGGCACTGCACCCAATGGTGCCGCACTCTCGTTCCATCGAACTTGATTCTCCGGTTTGGCGCTGCGTCGAACGAAGGTGACGACACCGGTGGGCACATTGCTTGCATCACGTTCCGTTGGACAGACGCGACGGAAATAGTGCATAATGCATTTCAATTTCTCCAGAACCGCCGGACCCGATGATTGATATAACCTGGGAAAGATTGAGAGATATTAATTTAAAGTATTTTATAAAATAATATGGAATATATATTAAATAAACCAGTTTTAGGTTCCATTTTAAAATTAAAAGTTTAAAATACAGTTGAATATAAAAAAATATTGAACATTTAACATTCAAAATTGTATATAATATATAATAAAATTAAATATACATCAACTAAAGCAGTTTTGGTTTAAAACGGTGTAACATTTCCTGTTTTAAATTTTAAATATCGAAAAAGATTGCATTTAACATTGCTATTAATAATCTATATTATATAAAAAGTATATTTTATGGGTTCTAGTCCGATTTATCAAACAGAATATTAATTTATCTTAAAGTCAAACAATTAAAAATGCAAGTATAACAAAATATATATTATATACAATATTAAATAAACTTTTTATAAAAATAGAGCTTGTTATTCTTTGTAAAATAGATCTAAAATATTCTTGTTAAACAGAAAAACAAGTAACAATATTATTTTCCTTGATACATGTCGATGGATTTCAATTTTTTACCATTTTTTAAATCAAGATGAATCAATAAAATGTTAAAAAACATAATTTTAGAATGTTCCCTAGTTTATTTTGATATTTCTTTGCTTTTTCTTCAACTAACAAATCCAATTCATTTCGTATTCATTTTAATGTACAGATTTTGGCAGGTTAATTGCCAATTGAAAACGAAAAAACCAATTAAGTGCAAGAATTCTTATTTGGTAAGGTAAAAGTTAATTAAATATGCTTAAATATTGATTGGTGGCTAGCAAGAAATCGGGTTTCTAATTTCTATAAATATAAATATAATATATACATGGCAGCTATATGAATTCCGAGTATTTATACAATTCCTTAAATTTCAGCTAAAGATTCCCCTGCACCTGCTCGCTCACCTGTTAAAGTTGATGTCTGGAAAAGTGCTGTACTCGGATTTCCGTTTCAGTGTATTCCGTCTCGGAAAGGTGCAGAGAAAAGCGTTTGCCAGCAGGCAGGCAATCTGCTGTTGACTCAACGACAGAGCAGAATTGTGGTGTTGCTTCAGCAGCGGCACTGGTGCCTGAACTAGATCCGGTAGCCTCAGCGCCATCCGAATGATCCGCGGCAGCAGATCCTCGAAGAAGACCCGCGACTCGCTCTCATCCAACTCCTCGTCCAGCAACTGATGCAGAGCCCTGAAATTCCATTGGTCGCGATACGTAGTGTTGTACGACAGAATGGCTGTTTGCAGCTCTGCAGCAGTTTCTATCGGTTGCAACAGCGCCCGTTCGATCATCTCCCAGCGTGAGTCGATGCTCGTCGTACCATCCTCGTTCTCTCGCGGATATTTACTCTCGGGCGCACAGGGCAAACGCACATGCTCCGAGTCCCATTTGCCCGGTGCCTTGTGCGGCCGTGGTGGCTGCTCTGGTGACTCTTTTATAGGAGTTTTATACAAGACTCGGTGCATATTGCTTGCTGCCACCGGGCTAAGGTGCTCCAGTTCAAAGACCGGACGGCCCCGGTGAATGGCCTCAATGGGCACACCGCGCCACGATTTCTCCTGTGAGCTGGTACTGCTGCTATTACTCCGGTCCGCCTCGTCCTCCGAGGAATCACCAGCAATGTCCACAATCTCCATTTGCTCCCGTTTTGCCGGCGACTCGTCCATTTCCATTTTGCGAATCCCGCCTTCCGTTGCCTCCGATGACATGACGCCCTTACTTTCCATATTCCCCTTGTCCGTCCGGTAGGACAACGCGGCACTTAGCTTGCAGCGCGGTGGCCGCGAGTGGAGGAGCTGTCGGATTGTGAACAGAATGGTGTAGCTGGCTTTTATGTGGTTTTTTTCTTTCTTATTTGGTGTTTTCGGTGCGGCAACTTAACTTTTAAGTAGTGGTGGGCAAAACAACGATTCATCGATGTTCTTCGAATTTTCTAAATCATCGATGTTTTTTTCGACCATCGATGATTCTGTTGCTTGTTTTAGCTTTTTTTGCACAGAATTTAGCTTTTACGGAAGGTTATAATCTGGTAACACTGTCAGCGACAATTCACGCCTTCTCCGCTTATCGATAAATAGCACTGTGACAACACCGTGCTTAGGCGGCGACAAGCCGATAGAGATGAGCCCACTTGACCAAACGATAGTTGGGAGAATATTGTAAAGGGAATATATGGATTTTATTGCAAGAGTTGCCGTCACAAATTGTTTGTAACTTTAACAATAGGAGTAGTTTGATTTTGTTTATGCTTGAATTAATTAAATAAAAATACAAATATATTATTAATATTTTCAGTTTCATCTGCTGTAATTATAATATATATTCCTTCCTCAAAGCAAATTTAAATTGGGTCCTTCCCCGAGTTCTGTTACATTCAGATATAATACAATAAGGCTAGTAAACCGATTTGCTTTAAGCAAATTTAAAATAAAATTACTTAAAAACAACAATATAGAACAATTTATAATAGACGATTTTAAATCCGTGTGACTTGAATGAACGAATCAATCTGGAAAGATGAGCGATATATTTTAATTACAAACTAAAATACAATACTTTATTATTTGGCTTTTAACTAGTTCCCTCCATCGTTTTGAATTCGCTCATCTCTAGTCGTGAGAAAGTTAACCGCAGGCGTGGGCACACTGGTATTGCGGTATTTTAATACTTCACTGTGAATGGCAAAACAAAACTAACCGGCCGCAAGAAAAATCAACCAATAAGAACCATAGCACAAACTGCTCCACTATTTTCTGTTTTTTTAGTGCATAGCATAAAAAACAAAGAAGCCCGACATTAACGTGAATAGAAAACGAAGTACGCTCGCGTTTAATTAGTTCGTTCGATGTGAAAAAGTGAATTCTGAGACTCCTTGACAGCAAGACCCTGAATGCGGTTAGTTACGGTAAAAAAAAAAAGAAGTGGACTCGCCGAATCGAATATTAAAGTGCCGAACAAATACATTTATGAAATCATAATTGGCAAAGGTAAGCTTACAAATACAGATACATATATTAATTTAAGTAACGCTATGCCGCCGGCCATTTAGTTTACTTTAATTTTACCACTTTTGGTTGACGTCAGTGACGAAATCGCGGCTTCTTTTCTATTGCCCCCGTTGCTTTTCTCTCGCTCGCACTTTTGCTGTCTGTCATTCAACTTTCTGGCCCTGCCTTGCCTCTCTTTCCCGCACACACAGCTTATGTGTAATAACAAAGAAGAAAACCCCGTTGCATACACGTGCAAAAATGGTGAGAGGACAAGAGAGAACGAAAAGAGAGCGGGATAACGCGCTTTTGTTTGTTTTGAAAGCGGCGCAAAAATAATGAAAAATTGAAATAAAAAAAAGCAGGCACACACTTCAAACAAAAGAAACTAAATTCATAGCCAGCTAAAACAAAATAAGTATGTATAATTTATTGAATGTACTTTGCCGAAAGTTCAACACACCTTTATCTCTGTGAAATTTTTGTCTAAATAGCTCGCTCTCTTTCTAGGCCCCTCTCTTGTCCCCTCTAGTTCGTTCTCTCCCTGCCGTTCATTTGCGTAAACAAATGAAAGCAGCAAAAAGGGGCAAAAAAATAATATAACAACAACAAGAAAATACACGCACGAATTATCAGTGCCTCTTAACTAGAAGAATTCTACAAAATCAAACTATACACATGCGATTTGTACTCTCTTTATTTTTGTATTTGTATCTTTTCTTGTGATTGTATTTAGCCTTCAAAATTCTGCTTAGATTTTGCCTTGACCATAACCTAGAAATACTCGAAAAAATAAATACAGTGGAATATCGCTAGTTAGAACTCACAATTAACTTGAAATTCTAGGTAATTTTTATAATATTTTCCAGTAAAGTGCTTTGAATTATTCGTTTTGTAAAGCCTAGAAAGGATGTATATATTTTTCTTAATTAAACCGTTGCATTTATTTGGTTTAAACTGTACTTGGGCTATTTCTGCCTCTTTTCTGATTTGCGTCAGCTGCAAACAGGTAAAGTGTGCGACAGGGACAGGCAAGCGGGGGGTGGTTGGGGGAGAAAACAAACAACAACAAAATTGCATAGAGCTAAATAATCGCATAGAAAGCAAGCAAAGAAAATAGCCGAAAAAAAATAATAAAAATGGGAAATGTTAGTAAACTTTTTCAAGGTCACCTCAAAAACATGAACTAATACTAATCAACGACCAGAAGAAGAAGAAGGGGAAAAAAGAGAGGCAGCGACGTCGACTGCAGTTTCTTTTTTTATTTTTCTTTTTTGTTTGTGTTCTAGAATCAATTGTCGATATGGATCTGAGAGCAAGGGTGGAAATTAAGAAACGAAATTGATTTACAAATAGGTTTTTATGTGTTTTTCTTTAATTTATTGTGTTTCATTATAGGGGTAATATTCTCGGTTTTATTGTTCATTGAATTATAGTACTTAAAGTATTATATTTTCTAGTATTTTATTACTTTAAATATATACATATATTATAATAAAAATTATTAAATATTATTTTTATTATATAATATATATTTATTGCATTTTATTTTGATATTTTGCAATTCATTTCATTTTTATGGTATTATTTATTTAATATATTTATTTATAATACATTTTTATTTATTAAATATTTAAATTCAATGAAAATTGAAACAAGAATGATTTTATTTGCAAAAATAAAGATATATACATTTTATTAAATTATTTTTAAATAAATAAATAGCATAAAAATCTATCAATTATGAAACATGTACCCTTGAACATGCGTATGTTTTTTTGTGCTAAATGTAGTATTTTTTTGGTATTATTTTATAAAGTATTTATTTATAATACATAATTATTTATTAAATATTTAATTTCATTGAAGACTCGAACAAGAATTATTTTATTTGCTAAAATAATGATATTATAATTATATTAAATTATTTTTAAATAAGTAAATAGCATAAAAATCTATCAATTATGAAACATGTTCCCTTGAAGTATAAGTATAGTATATATACTAATTTTATTTGACCATTTTAAAATGATAATGCTATATTTATTGCTTACATACACGAAACGGCACTTGCATAGAATGAGAGGCAGGAGGCAATTAGAAAAGGAAAGAGAGAGAGAGAGAGGAGCAGAGCGCCCCACGAGTTGCTAAGGAGGGTCGCTAAACTTTATCACCTCTCTCCTTTTCCCCCTTTTGCAATTCCTATTATTTTTGTAGAAACAAAAATTCGCACACACTCAAAAAACAAAATAAAACCCAAAATAAAGTGCAAAAAATAACAAACAAAAATAAAATTCGCATGCGCGCATGACCTTGAATTTTTGTTATAAGAAGCGAACATCTGACTGGGACGCCGGCAGCGACGCCAGCAGCGACGCTAGCAGTGCGATTGCAATGCGAAATGAACAGAAAAAAAATTAAAAACAAAAAAATATATCACACACAAACAAGAGCGAATTTCTTCGTCTAGAACAAAAACAAATAAAGGCAGCGATTTCGCTTGTTTAATGAGAAAATTGCCAAAAGAAGAATATATATACAATATTTGGATTAATAACAAACAAGCCACATTCAATATAAATAAAATATAAAATAGTAAAATATATTAACAATAATAATGCAATTTAAAATGTAAATACTATGGAAAATAATATGCAAAGCCAACAAATCATAATTATTATATAATAAAGCAGAATAACATTTGTTAAAAAAAAGCTAAGCTATGAAATGCGCAACTGTAAATAAAAAATATTTATAAAACAATTAGAAAAAGCGACTATATCTGTAAATAAAAGTATATACATATATAAATCATAAATCATATTATATAAAGAAAAATGACATATAAAACAAGTAAGAAAGCTACCATCAAGTAGAGTATTACAACTGTCGTCATTCATAGTTAAAAAATCACAAAAAATCTACATAAAAACGTACTTTTTTTTCGAAGTAATACTTGATTATTTTGCTTAATTTTTGGCAAAGAGAAATCGCTGTTTTTCTTTCGCTTTTTGCACGTTTTTAAAATGAAATCCAAGTATGTATATATGCATATAAAATAAATAAATAAAGTACATACATATATGCACATATCTAGCTTCATAAAATTTGCTCAAAGTTAAAATAAATATGCAATAACAACAACAAAATAATAACAATAATAACAAGAAAAAGGTGATGGCCAGTCAAGAAGGCCTTAACCCCAATAAATTTGTAAAAACAACAGCACCAAAATCGCCAAAAAAAAATCATACAATAATAAAAACAACAACTCACGCGTCGCAATTAAAAAAAATTGTCTATTTATTTTAAAGCCTTACATAAGTGTGAAAGAGATGGCACTCAAGGTAAAAGTGAAATTAAAACAAGTAAGAAAGCAACAGTGTGCTTTCCTATGAAATACCCGGTAACCAAATCTTTATAGAAGTAGCCTTGAGGAATGGTAGATTCTAATTTTAATTGTTAACTTTATTTTAATAAACAAAATCCCAGTCAATATATGAATTTTACATTGCAGAATTCTAATAAAAATAAAAAATACCCTTTATTTCGGGGTATCAAAATTATAACAAGTTATACACAGTTATAATTATTATATAACAATTGAAAGACAAGAAAAGCCTTGACTTAACAGCGTAATAAATACAAAATAAAAGTAAACAATAAAACCTAAAAATGCAACAACAAGTAAAGCAAATTGTATTTTTTGTTGTATTTTTTGACAAACAATTACAATTATTTCCACATTAAGTCATTCGGCTGCTGCAAAATTTAATTCGTTTTTAATTTGTGCGCACATAAGGCCTTCCTTTTTTTCTTAATTTTTTATTGTTATTTTTTTGTGCCTCTCTTTCCTCTGTTGTGAGAATACCTTTTTGGGGTTTTGGCCCGTGTTCGATTTTTGCTATATTTACTATAGTCCCCAGGAAGTAGATAATAATGTGTGCCGTCGATTCGATAAATGGTTAAATATATATACAGATATACCTATATATACAGTCTTTTCTCTCTGTTTTTTTTTTGGGCTTAAACTTTAAAGAGTTTTATTTTTTAATTATTTTAAATGATATACAAACTATGCTTTTATGTGGTAAATATTATGATATTTATTGACTTATAAATAAATACCAATAATTAAGATTGCTGAAAGTTATATAAAATGTAAATAAATATATATTCCAAGGGTAAAATTATACGAATTAAAATATATACATAAAATTAAGAGTGCTAAAAAATTGAAAAGAAAGCATAATTTGTGTGCTGAAAATGTATGAAAAACGTTGTTGACATTGAAAATGTGACAAAAATAATTATTTCGAAATTTTCGACTATTTGTTGAATGGTTTTCTGTTTTCGTGTTGATTAATATTTAACAAGAGTGTGGGAAAATATCTTATTTTGTATATTTTTGCTTTGAAGAATATGCTTGACAGGAATTTTTTCTCATTCGTCGAAGAGAACTATTAATGTTCTTCTTTGATTTTGTGCAAATTCTGAGAAAATTATTTAAAATGTGAAAGAGGCAGGAAATTGGGGTGAGGAAAAGTTGTGGGATATTTTATTGCTATAATTGTTGCAGTATTTATTTATACATTTTCCTAGCCATGTACTTCCCCTCTCTCTATATATTTTATTAGTCAAAGTCATTGTTCGACCTTCAGATGAGCCAAGTTTGAATTACAATCAATTTGTATATACAATATATACATTATTTTTGTATTTTTTCTTATTTCCCAAGAACATATAAGACCCCTTTTTTCGTTTCCCACCTGACTAGCTGCTTGCTACATATATATTTGATGTATATACATATGTATGTATATTTATTCCGACACCTGCACTTCGTCACTTTGAATTGTGCGATTATTACTCACTTTTTCTTATCAGCCGTTCGCTTTGCTTTAGTTTTCTTTCTTTGCTGTGTCACAGGGAGGGGGGTAAAGGTGGGACAGGGGGATAGGGTCCCCCCGAGAACCCCACAACCCCGCCGTTGGCACTCA